CAGAAACAGACGTTTCTGATAAAGTCTTGGACGGGCTATCATCCAGATGTGGGTGAAAATGGCTGATGATGACTTGAAAGAGACTCGAAGTTGTGGTCTTGTCTGTCGTTTTAAATAAACCTCCTCTGCTTGTAGAGTCCTGATTAATTTACCATATAAAATGTTACGATTTATGATTTCCCACGTTTCTTGTAATCGTTTGCCATTGTTTCTTATCATGCACAGCGTAGAGCCAGTATGTTAATCAAGCACTTTATTTAAAGTGGCTTCTGAATCGGTGCGCGATTATACTGCTAAAATACGTATTTCCAGGATACTTTTGGCGACTCTGGTACAGCAGGAATTCAAAGAATTCCAGATGACCGATCTGATCGCGACGTGCGTGTTGATTCGTATACAGTGCGTGACGTTGATAGTGGATGATGCATGTCGCAGTGAGTTGATGCAGGATGATGTTTCATATGTTCGTTTCTAAGATACGCAGCTTTAAAGGCGTGATGGAACTAGGCAACAAGGAAACGTGGAAGTTGGTAGCTTACGACAACGAAAGTACGCGAACGGCACTGCCGGACATTTTTGAAAGCATTGTCAACGAGACATCGATCGTTCTGAAGGGTGTGCTGCTGTCTGATCCTGATACACCGGGCGATAAAGACCTTTAGGATGTGGATGTGGCGAAACCAAAGCTCATATCTCGCCTAGAACAGTTGCTATGCAGCTTCAAAGATGTGCTGTTGTTGTTGTCAGGCATCTCAGAAATGGGCGCTGCAGCCGCCGCCGCCGCCGCTGCTGCCAATGCAGAGAATAAGGACCGGCCGACCACGTTGTCTCTGACTGAGGCAAGGGACAGATACCGCCGGGCAAAGGTCAAAGACCGCAAATTGCTGATGGTGCTAGCAAACTGCGACTACGTACTGAACAAGTCCATCCCGCGCTGCATCAAGCGGCTGTCGCTGTGTGGAATGCGCTTCTCGGAGCGCATGCATGAGGTAGCAAATTTGTCGTACGGATGGTTAATGATACTTTCCATTTTCTATTGATGCATCGTCCTTCCGGTCTTGTATATTGCCATGTCTTTGTACCATACCTGAGGCCAAGGAATTTTTTGACTTACGTCATTTAATCAGTTAAGGCGAATGCGGTTTTCCTAGGAAGTTTTCACTTTCTAAACGCTGCTCTTTCAAATTTCCTTAACACCGTGACTTAAGTCATCTCTACCTCCTTTGATATTCGTCAGCATTACTTGCAGGATGATAGGAATGTTCGGCATCTTTCTGTAAGAAGGTAACTCTACCGTAGTATAGCGTCGCCATTGCGTGGCTGCAAAAATGCGTCACTTGGCACAGCAAAAAAGCAGTGCGAGTTTGCCGCATAAGCTGAGGAAGAAGGCGCGTATTTGTATTGTCTTTTCATTGGTAATTTCACATTTTTGTTGCTTAATAGTACTTTATGCCGTATCGTCGCTTTATCCGTTTCTAAACCTTTTT